TGGTTGGTGTAAAAACAGCACTCTTCCTCCAGGAATAGGCATGGCCTTCTTTTCTCAACTGTGTGGAGGTCAAGTCCTCTCTGATTTTGGTAAATTGCTGCCAGTGAATTTATGTGGTCCTGTACTACGGCAATACTACTTTGGGCAATCTCCTGTTAACATAAAAACATTCAAACCTGTAAAGAACTTTTGTGAGTTTATTTGAGGCAAAATGTAGACAATTGCTAGGGAGCAATATCTCAATTGATTGGGATAATGTTCCAGAGAATGGTAGTTTTTTTAAATCTGTTTTTATACATTGCAATCAAAGGAGAAGATGTAGGTGGGTTACATGAAATCCATTGGTGATAGACTAGAGAGGCTGGAGAAAGCAAAATGGGGAGACCTCTGGGATTGGATAAAAAGCAAAATGATAGATTCATACTGGTGGGTGCAAGATAGTTAACTATCAACAATTAACATAACAATAACAATAGAGAATTTTTCGGTCTCTATCTTGTCACCCAGGCACATTAGTTTGTGCCCCAGGGGCTCCAGAAAAAGTCACAAGTTACCCAGACATTTCAAGGGTATGTTATCATAGATGCAAAAAGACAGATAGGCTGGCTCAGTTAAGGCAAAGGTTGACCTTGATAGTGAAGATACTGGCCTAGGATGTAACTACCCACCATAACTGCTTTTAGTTAGAGTTTAATTTCAAACCATCCTTTGAGGTGACTTTAGGTCTCTGAGTTTGTAAGACTGCCATGTAGGCCTTCCCTGAGCTTGTCAGGTCAGCATGTGGCCCTTTTTGTCCACACTCCTGTAAGCTATCTGTAAGGTCTTTGGATAGGCTCTGATTGTAGGAAAGCGAGATTGCTAGTCCCCCTATCCCAATGCCTAGGCCTGTGGCTGTTCCCAGGCCAGCAAGGAGGTGAAGGAGAGCTATACCCGTCTCTCTGGTCTGAGCATAAGCAGTATGAGAAATCTTAAAGGACTGAATATTAGGGCAATGTCTATTTCAGTGTGAGATAGATTAGGATGCAGGTCCTAGTCCAATTGGCTGGGAGACAGAGATAGGTATTGGTGCCGCACAGAAAGAAAATTCCCTGATTTTCTAAGCAGAAAGTGTTCTCAACAGTGAAGAGGTAAATGACCTTGTTGTTCTCATTTTCTCAAACAGAAAATTCCAGCTAACATTGCCCCTGTAAGGGGCTGAAAGGGGCCTTTGGAAATGACCCGTGTAGCCCCAGTAGTGAACTCTGCCACGGGAAATAGCCAAAGCAGGAAAGGGGTTGACCTAAACAGAACTGGGAGGTATTGGCCATTGGGAAGGTCGCTGAGATGATGGGCCAGGCTGAGAAACGAATGTTTCAGAAAAAGGGCTGCTTGGGTGACAAAAGAGTTAGCCCAGTCAGAGGAAGACTGGAGGTTGAGAGTCAAGTTTCATAAGCATCGATCAAGATGTCCTAAACCTTTCCTGCAGGGAGTGTTATGTTGATGCAAAGAGATGCCTGATGGAGAGTTCTATTGATGCAAAGAGGTGGTGCCTGATATGCTAGGACAGTGTTGGTTGTTCCTGATCCTAAGATGGGGACTTTGTTGGATGAGTGTCCAGTTATATTGTTTAAATGTGACTGGAATAACTGAACAGCTCTGCCTGTGAGTGTTCCTCTTGTCATTTCTGTGGCCTGGAGAATATAAAGTTCATTCACGCACAGGAGTTGGAACGGGAGCCTTCCATGCATCTTACAGTGGAAGGACAGACTGGAGTTGGCCCATGGGTGTAAGGAGGTTGGGGGTTCCGTGTAGCTAGCTGATGAGAGGGGAAGACAGAGCCAGCAGTCCTACGAGAGAGTGGGGTTGGTGGTGTTGAGGAGGTGATATGTTAGGTTTGAGAGAGATAGTGAGGACTTAGGAGATTTTTTTTTTTTATTCTCACCTGAGGATATTTTTCCATTCATCTTTTAGAGAGAGTGGAAGAGAGAGAGAAAGACAGAAATATTGATGTGAAAGAAACATATTGGTTGGTTGCCTCCGGCATGAGCCGTGACTAGGGCCTGGACCGAGGAGGAGCCTGCAGCTGAGGTACGTGCCCTTGACCGGAATTGAACCCAGGACCCTTTGGTCTGCTGGCCAACACTCTATCCACTGAGCCAAACTGGCCAGGGCAGGAGATCTTTAAAAGGTATAGGGTAGACCTGCTACACAATAAGAGGAAGAGAAGGCTGGCGGGGAAGTCATTGTAGACTCTAGCCGGGGCTGACCAGCAGACCCTGATCGATGGATGAACAGATAGATTACTCCGACATAGGTTTCTGTGAAAGAGAGGTGTAGGGACTGTTTTACTTTAGAAGTAAAAGCAGGCCTGTTCACCTGCCTCGATGGTTTTTTTACTGTAACAACAGCTTGAACTCAAATTAACCTCTAGATACAATCAGCAGGGCAAGTATCCTTGAGAAAATATGTGCTTCTATAAGGTCAGGTCTTTAAAGACTAAACATAGAGATTCTAGCAAAGCACCCCCGGAGGGATCATACTTGTTTGGAAAAATCAAGGTAGGGGCTGCCGACTTCAGCAAGTCCCCTCAGAGGCCCCCCGACCTTTAGGAGAATCCTCCTTACAGACTTTCCAACCAAGTCCCGTGCTTCCCTACAGACTCTAACATCTGGTAATGCCAACCAGATGGCACAAGAGAACGGCATATTAATAATGACAAGGGAGATTCCGAGGAGTACTGGCCAGAATAGAGGATGAGTTAGGGTCTCCCAGGCTAAATTCTTGTTCAGTTAATCCCCAGAGTTGGCTTCCGGCCAGGAGGTTATTTGATCCCAGGAAAAGTCTATGAAATCTCCCTGAAGATAACGATCCCACAAGAAAGTCAGCCACTATGTCTCAGTCCTGGGACTAACAGAAGGGACTCCTTTGAGTAAGGGTAAGATAAGATCATAGAATTGTTCTGCTGTAGGTCGTTAGGTAGGGAGGGGGCTAGCCAGGATGGGGGCTCGGAGATTGGGATCAGCATAAACAGGATAGTGAGGGGTGATGGGCGAATGCCCCTTAAACTAATCCCCTAGCTCATAGGGGATTAGTTTAAGGGTCTGGGGGCTTACAGTTCCTGAGGAATTTTTATAAATTTGAGGCAAGTTGGTCTGAGGCTGATGCTTGGATACAAGCTGATGGGCGGTGGAGTCTGGGGTGCAGGGGCTTCAACTTGGAGGAGTGGACCCAGGATGGATATCCCCGTAGCTCGGCCACCGTCCATGTGTTCTGGAGCCCCTGGCTTCCACTTTCCTGTGTTGTAGGGTGCCTGGATGAATACCCAGTCTCCCTGCTCTAGTGTAGGATCAAGGGAAGAATCAGTGGTAGGCCTCGGGAGAACTGGTCGGCAGGTTGCCTAAGGGGGTGGCCAGTGAGTTGGAGAGTGGGGAGATGATCTCCCAAAGGGCTAGAGGCATTTGGGATGTTTCTGAGTAGGAAGGATCTGCCGCACATAAGCTCGAAAGGGCTGAGGCTGTGGGGGTGTGAGGGGTTGATGGGATGCCGATGAGGGCTAAGGCTAAGTGGGGTGATCCAGGTCTCTCAGACCTCCAGAGTTAGCCTAGTGAGGTGTTGTTTTCAGGCTTGAGGATAAAGGATAAGCAAGTTCCAGCGGATCTGTGGTGCAGTGGCCACCCCTTGGGTGACTTGAGAGATGAAGGCTGGACCGCGGGCAGGGGGGTGGGCAGGCCAAAACTGGGAAGGGGATGTTCAGCGAGGCCCTTTACTAGCTTGGTAGCCTTTATGAGGTGGCGGGAACTCTGGGAAAGTGAAATATAAAGGTTAGTAGATATTTGAAATGCCTTATGGGGGCATGTGTGTGAAGTTGACCTGTCAGTCTTGACTGGGAACCTGTCCTCTGGCCTGGTGAGTGGGAAAAGATGGGAGTGTCTTGAGGGCCCCCTGGGGAGCAGTCTGGGAGCAAGCAGCACATTGGTTATGTTCTTGAGGTGTGTGGCCGGTCACCTGACGACAAATGATGAGGGGTTGAAGGAATCTAAAGAGGGACCTATAACCTAAGTGGAGGGAGTTGTGAGTTTGGGTGAGGATTGGGGTGTCTGTGGTGGTGAGCCAGAAAAACTGCTCCTGCCTGTGTGAGTCTGACATTTCTTCAACCTGCTAGCTGTTAGTGATCACCTAGCAAGAAAGATAACAGCCATTGGAAAGCTTTAACAGGGTCACAGGTCCCTTGGTGAATTTAATGGAAACTATAAATCTTTCCCCTCTGAACTCCAATGCTGAAAGCGAAGTGGAAGGAGAGCGCCCAGGAAATGCAAAGTTGGTGCGAGTTGGAGAGGACGGCGAGGTAGGGGCAGATCACAAGCCTCAGGAAGGCCAAGTGGGGGAAGAATAGCAAAAAGTCAAGACACGGGTGAAGAACCGAGAATGAAAGCGGGCCTTTGAGCTCTGGGTGTGGGGCTGGCGGAGGCGTCTGGGACAGACAAAGGGGATTATCTTCATAGCCCTCCTCGCAGTGCAGCCCAGCGCCTGGGATGCACTGCAGCCTGGACAGGTGTGTTTGCTGAGAAGCACCAGATTTCACGGGGCTTCGAGGGACAACTGAATGGCAGGCTGCGCTGGGCTGAGAGCGACCTCGGCGCAGCAGAGCCACGGGCAAGGATGGACAGCGCGGGCGGCCAATCGGAACCCGCCCCTCAGCTTCTGCCCCGCCCCTCGCGCCCCACCCCCTTACCCGCCCCGCCCCGTGGCCGCATTACCACGCCCCTTTTCCCTTTAGCCCCGCCCTGAGGCCTCCTAGCTCCGCCCCTTACCCGCCCGCTCTGAGGCCGTCTGGCCACGCCCCCTTTCCCTTCCCCGCCCCGCGGCCTCCGAACCCCGCCCCTTTCCCGCTCCGCCCCGCGGCCGCTAGCCCCGCCCCCTGCTCGCCGTGGCCCGTCGCCGCAGGCGCACGCAGCCCCGGGTCTCCCGGAAGTGCGCCCAGAGCTGGCGCCGCGGGCTGAGGTGAGCGCGCAGACTGGGCGGGCCCGGCCGCGATCTCTCGGGATCGGGCCTGGAGCCGCCCGCGTCCGCGCTGGGTCGGCAGGTCCCCGAGAGGGCGGCGGGGCTGGCGGACGCGCGCCGGGCGCCAGCAGTGCGCGCGCGGGGATGCGGCGGCGCGGGGACACGGCGACGCGGCGAGCGCGGGGGAGGGGCGGCGGGGGTATCCCGGCCCGGCTCTCTGTCCTGGAGCCGGTGGGCCCCTCTGGACCCTCCAGCCACGTGCCTGGACTGGGGTCGAAGACGGGCCCCTGCGTCCTGTCTTCCCCCACAGGCTGGGAATGGATCTCGGGCCGAGGGAGCCCCGACGGGCGGCTGGCCGAGGCTGCCCGCGGTGCTGTCGGAGTGGGGGCCGGAGCGTGGAGGACACTTGGTAGTATTGCGCAGCGCCTTTTGGGGCTGGAGCAACCCTGGTCTCCAAGCCGCTAAAAGCCGTTTTTTGACAACCCCAGACCCGCCCCACGCATTTCCAAAAGTTGGCATGTCCTCCCCAAAGCACAGGCATCAGAGCTTTCTCCGCCCCTGGGGACCTCAGAGGTTCCTAATCTATACACTTTATACTTACCGTGCAGGGTAGTTGTGAGGTTAGAGATGACATGAACGGGGCCTAATACGGAGCTGACATATTCCTCACGTCACCTGTTAAAGAAAACGTTACTCCAGGTACTTGTCAGAGACGGTAAGGCCCACTTTATTCCTGGGTTACTGCTCAGATGGGCTTTGCAGGGCTACAACAGGGCACGTGGGGGTCAGTGGATGGAAAACTAGAGGGAACATCTGGCTTAAGGAGGGCTTCTCAATAAGCCGATTTAACAGGTGTTTTGGGGAAGGCAGATTAGGGTGAATCGTGTATCAGGAGTGGTCAGCTACCAAGGGTAGAATAGAGACTTCTGTTAGATACTATTGGATCAGATACCAAAGCTGGAGGATTTTCCCTAAACTGGACCCTGCAGGATTCTTGATAAAACTGGAATAGAATGTCCAAGGACAGAGCCTAAGGGCCCGGCCTAATAAAAAAGAGGACTCAGGTGCTAGCCGGTTTGGCTCAGTGAATAGATAGGGCATTGGCTTGTGGACTGTAGTGTCCTGGGTTCGATTCCTGTCAAGGTCAGGTACCTTGATTGCAGGATCTATCCCAGTATTTATTGAGCACATAATATATGTCACGGTAGCACACTGGTTACTGCATGAATATCTGAGTGAAATATATTTACTTTGCTCTTTTTTGTTCTCTTGAGAAAGTTTTTTAAGGATGATTTGGTGATATGGAATGACTTGTTTGGGTTAAGTGGTAGGTTTTTTTTTTTTTTTTTTTTTTGTTTTTTTTTTGTCATAGGTTTTTGTATGTCAAGGCAAAAGCCACTATCAAAAGCTATAGAGTGTTGTACTGATCTCTGATTAAGCCAGATACCCACGTGACTGGGTGTGTATTGGTTGTGGTTAGTGTTATGGAGAATGATGCCCTTTAGGTCCTTCATAACATTTAAGGATTGACTGAGTAATCAATCCAGTATCAGGATCACATGCAAGAAAGTTAACTAGATAAGCATTTACTTTGCCATTTAATATTTCTCCTTTTACCGTCTTCTAAATTTTGATACCATTCACCATAATATTACTCGGTTCAAGTCCTTAGGAATGCTTTCAAGGTAGTTAGCATTTATTCTAAAATTTTTTAAAGCCCGAGGTTTAAAATTCCGGGTGGGACAGGTTTTCTTAATGCATTCCTCTGGCACTCAAAAGAGGTCACCTAGAAATTTCATCATACCTTTTGGGGAGGAACTAATTTGCTCTGTTCAACCTCATCTTTATTATGGAAGCATCTGCTCATCTCAGCGTTAGCCTTTATTTCTAGGGCATTGATGTCCTTGTTCAGCTTCATTTTCCCGAGGGGTGACATGTGGGTGCAGATAAAAGTGCTTTGCAGAAGAGCTGTTTACCAGAAACCTGTAGTGAAGATGCTTCAGGTTGGGCTGGACATTTGAAGAGTGAGAGGGACTCTGGTAAAATGGTCAGGGTGATGGTGACAGTTTAGATAAGTATTAGTGGTTTGCTCTGTGGCTTCACGTTTACAATCTTGCAAAATAAAATAGTGCACCCATCGATTTGGAAAGATCCGTGGTTGACTCCTTGGCTTTTCAGATAGAGCAGGCGTCCTCAAACTTTTTAAAGCCAGATCACGGTCCCTCAGAGAGCTGGAGGGCCGGACTATATGAACTACTAATTCCTACTGTAACACCTCAGCTGCTCTCACTGCCCAAAAAACCTGGCGGGCCAGATCAGACTCCTCTGCGGGCTGCATGTGGCCCGCGGGCCGTAGTTTGAAGACGCCTGAGATAGAGCATGTGAATTTGTTCTTTCTGAAAACGTGACCCCTTTCTTCTCTATAGCACTGGATCTCACGCCCTCGCGTGTTCCTGTGCGAGGCTCTGTGAAGACGTCGTCCTCCCCAGAGACAACTTCGTCCCAGAAGAACTTCGCCTAGAAGGACGTGGCAGGCCTGATGATGCCTGTTGAGCAGGGGCAGGCCCCAGTCCTGCTGCCACCGCTGGCAAAGGACTCCCCGATCTCTGGGCCAGATGCTGCCCCTCAAGGGGAGCCCTCCAGCCCTGAGGCTGCTCGCCAGCTTTTCAGGCAGTTCCGTTACCAGGTGATGTCTGGGCCCCAGGAAACCCTGAGACAACTTCGGAAGCTCTGTTTCCAGTGGCTGCAGCCAGAGGTCCACACCAAGGAGCAGATCTTAGAGCTGCTCATGTTGGAGCAGTTCCTGACCATTTTGCCCGGGGAGATTCAGATGTGGGTGCGCAAACAGTGTCCTGGCAGCGGAGAGGAGGCAGTGACCCTGGTGGAAAGCTTGAAGAGAAACCCCCAGAAGCTGTGGCAGTGGGTAAGCGGAGGATACTATGATCTGTTAGTGAATCACGGCTCCTCGGGGCTTTTATCAGGTTTGCTGTCTTTTCCGATAGCAAATATGTAGAATTTTCTACACTAACAACCAGTTCTCCAATTCTCTTGATCCCAACCGGGTGTCTTACAATTCAATTCAGTTCTGACACTGAATATCAGGGTTACTCGGATCCCACAGGATAAGGGTCAGTCTCAAAGACTGCCCCCATTTCAGACACCAGTTACAAGTCTCAAGGGCCACCCATACTTATTACAAACTGGCTAAAATTTGGAGGTTCCCCAAACACTGTCCTCATAGAATTCGCTAGAACGAATCATAGGACTCAGGAAAAACACTTTACTTACATTACCAGTTTATTATGAAGGATATGATGCAGGATCAGGCAGTTGGAGGAGATGGGGTCACCCAGAGCTCACATGCCCTCTCCAGGCCATCAACTTCTGTGTATTCACCAACTAGGAAGCACCTGAATCCCATAGTTTAGGTGTTTTTATGGAGGTTTCATTACTTAGGCATGTGATTGATTTATGGATGGCCACTGGTGAGTGAACATTTCCAGACTTTCTCCCCTGCCCCAGAGGTTGGGGGTGGGGCTGAAAGTTCTAATCACCTCTGGTGACCAGCCTTCATCCTGAAGCCATCTCAGGGTCCACCAAGAATCACCTCATTAGCAGAAACCCTGGTGTGGTTGAAAGGGGCTCATTATAAATAACAAAAGCTGCTCCTGTCACCCCTGTCCCTCAGGTAATTCCAAGGGTTTTAGGAGCTCTGTGCCAGGAACCGAGGACAAAAAACAAATATGTATTTCTTATATGCTACATCAGGGTATCCCCATATCGCACCTAATTCTTAAGATTCCCTGTGACTCAACACTTTTTAGCCAATTAGGGATTGAAGATAAAGCCATCCCATCCCATTCCATCTTTGTCTTTTCTTTTTCTTTAATTCTCACCCAAGGATATTTTCCCACTGATTTTTAGAGGGAGTGGAAGAGAGAGGGAAAGACAGAGAAAAATATTGCTGTGAGAGAAACACATCAATTGGTTGCCTCTTGCACGTGCCCTGACCAGGGCCAGGGCCCAGGAGGACCCTGCAACTGAGGCATGTTCCCTAGACCGGAATCGGACCCAGGACCCTTTGGTCCATAGGCTGACGCTCTATCCAAAGAACCAAACAGGCTAGGGCCCATTCCATCTTTAGACTATCAGTGGTCGGCAAACTGTGGCTCTTTGGCCCCTTGAATTTTTAGCAAAGGCCAGCTTAGGAGTACCCTACTACCTATATAGTTTAAGTTGAAAAATTTTGGCTCTCTAAAGAAATTTCAGTTGTTTTACTGTTGATATTTGGCTCTGTTGACTAATGAGTTTGCCAACCACTGCACTAGAAAGAAAAGCAGTTTTTGCCTCTCTCCATGTCCCTAAAGGCTGTCATGGTCTGTTATAGAAGCTTTCAGAAACTCTCCTCTGCATCTTTCAGTAACTAGTCCTCTGTCTTCTCCAGATCAGCATCCAGGTTCTAGGACAGGACACCTTACCCAAGCAGGTGGAGTCTGCAGGCTGCCAAGTGGGGGAAGTGGAGTCTCCTCTTGAAGAGACATCTCAGGAGCTGGGACTTGGTAATTTACCCTCTGGGCCCGGGGAGCCACTGAGCCACTTGGTGAAGGAGGAGTCTAGTGGGCAGTTATTCAGGTGGTGTGTGTGCATTGTTGGAGAAACATGTGGCCTACTGGTGAGTGGGTTGAAACCAATGCTGCCCAGATGGGAGAATCTCTAAAAAGTTCAAAAACAGGGTAGTTGTACTTCAAACACACTGATTTGGATATTTGAAGCCTGTAACTAATTTAAACACTTTTTGTCTGGGCTAGGCCTTTCGGATTTTGGTTTTGAGGAAGGAGGTGGGAGAAAATATGGGTAAGATTGTTTGTAAGGTTGGAGGGGATTGCAGTTTGATAGGGAGGTCCCTCCTGTCTCAAACTATTCGGTTCTCGACCAAGTTGTTCACAGAAAAAATGGCTTGGTTTTGAACAAAAACTTCAGATTTTGGTCTGACAACCCTTTTATGCAGATAGCTCAGCTTGGCAAAAAGCGACTCAGGCAATAAACAAAGGAGTGATGCTTTTGTTACGGGCAGAAATTGAGGATTAGCACAGTTTTAAAATATAAAGAGGCCATCTAGCATGCAAATGTTGCAAAGTGTGTGAAAGTGCTCACAAAACAACAATCACAGGTAAATGAAAAGGCAGAAAATCTGCTTTTGATTGGCTAAACAAAAGCAGTTAGCTGGCGATAGCATTTTTGAGACAGTGATATATGAAAAATTCTTTGTTTACAGCAAGTAGGGTGTGGTTCGATAAATTTAAGAAGTGTGTATTTATAGATTAAACAGTACATTAAACATTCACTGTATATAAGAAAAGTTAAAATAAGGAATCATTTGGGGTCTGGAACAGATTAATTTACATTATTATTTTTTTAGTACATATTTTTTATTGATTTCAGAGAGGAAGGGAGAGGAAAAGAGAGAGATAAAAACATCAGTGATGACAGAATCATTGATCGGCTGCCTCCTGCAGGCCCCATATGGGACTGAGCCCACAACCCAGGCATGTGCCCTAACTGGGAATGGAACCATGATCTCCTGGTTCATAGGTTGACGTTCAACCACTGGGCCATGCCGGCTGGGCCAATTTACATTATTTCTAATGGGGGAAAATGAATCAGTTTTCTAACAAACTTTTTTTTCTTTAAAGTTTTATTTATTTTTAATTAACCTTTAGAGAAAGGAAGGGAGAAAGAGAGAGAAACATCAATGTGAGAGTGAAACATCTATTGGGTGCCTCTTGCATACCCCCCAGGGATCAAGCTGCAACTTGGGCATGTACCCTCACCCAGAATCCAGTTGGTGCTCGGAATGATGCCCAACCACCTGAGCCACACCAGCCAGGGCACAAATGGCTCCTTAAGCAGCCTTCTGGAACTAATAAAGTTCGAGAACCGAGTTTCTACTGTACAATTCCTGAAGGCATAGATGGTGGAGCAGGTGTCAGTTCTAATTTGCAGAGATTTTTACCTGTACCCTCTGGGGACTGATTGAGGACATCGGATTCTTGAGACTTCCTGTTTTTCACTTCGCCAGTGCCTGCTTCCCAGCTTCCTGCTCAGCCTGAGGAGAGACTCATCGGAGACCAGGACTTTGGAACCTCCCTTCTCCACACAGCACCTCAGGTGAGCTGGGCGGCCCTGCCTCTCTCTCCCGGAACCAGGCTTTGAGGGTGTATCAGCCAGGAGGAGTGAAAGGGGGAGGAGTCTCAAAAGTGGAGGAGGAAGGCCTAGCAAGGATAACAATAATATCTGTGGAATGAGACCTGAGTTTCAGTTCTTAAGAAGGAATGTTTCCTAATTGTCATCTTGAGTAATGGAATCTGGAAGCAGTTGCTCTGAAGAGGCAATCTTGTGTCTCCTTTTTTATTATCTTTGAGTTATGCTGAGAAAATACTATCTCCTTTCCTATTTAAGCCTCTCACAACGAGTCAGTTTGAGATTTTGAATGGTTATAGCTAATGTGGGACAGGTTAGTCTTTCCTGCCCAACTCTATGGAGGAGTAATGGACAAACAATGAACTGCACATGTTTAAAGTGTAGAGTTTGGTAAAGTTTTCGATGAACATACATATATACATTCATACAAAAATGAAGCCGTGATCATAGACAAGATAATAAGCAAATCTATCACCACCAGAGGTTTCCTTTTCCTCCCTCCTACCCCTCCACATTCCCCCTGTTCTGAGGCAACTACTGATCTGTTTTCTGTTACCATACATTAGTTTGCATTTTCTAGAACTCTGTGTAATAGAATCATGCCACACGTACTCTTATCTTTGTTCTGCATATAATGCATCTTTCATGGTTGGTTCTTTTAATATTTTTTCACTGGTTTTAAACAATTTGACTGTGATAAGCCTTAGAATAATATTCTTTGTGTTTCTTGTGCTTGGGTTCATTAAACTTTGTGAATTTATAGTTTTCATCAAATTTGGAACATTTTTGGCCATTTAAAAAATATATTTTTATTGATTTCAGAGAAGAAGGGAGAGGGAGAGATAAGAACATCAATGATGACTGAGAATCATTGATTGGCTGCTTCCTGCATGCCCGCTACTTGGGATTAAGCCCGAAACCTGAGCATATAACCTTGACTGGAGTTGAACCTGGGACCCTTCAGTCTGCAGGCTGATGCTCTATCTACTGAGTCAAACCAGCTAGGGCCGTGGTTGGCAAACTGCGGCTCACGAGTCACATACGGCTCTTTGGTCCCTTGAGTGTGGCTCTTCCACAAAATACCATGGCCTAGATGAGTCTATTTTGAAGAAGTGGCATTAGAAGAAGTTTAAATTTAAAATTTTAGCTCTCAAAAGAAATTTCAATTGTTGTCCTGTTTGAAATTTGATATTTGGCTCTGTTGACTAATGAGTTTGCCGCCCACTGAGCTAGGGCATTGACCATTATTTCTTTAACTATTTTTTTCTGTCTTCCTTTTTTTCCTCTTTGAGGCCTCTGAGAATTATACACATGTGGCATGTGCTCTCTTTCTTTTCTACTTTCTGTGTTTTATTTTGGATAGTTTCTATTGTAATGTCTTTAAGTCTATTAATCTTTTCTTCTTTAGTCTCTAATATGCTATTAACCTCATCCATTGTATTTTTTTTTAATTAAAAAAAATATTTTATTGTTTTTTTTTACCAGAGAGGAAGAGAGAGGGATAGAGAGTTGGAAACATTGATGAGAGAGAATCACTGATCAGCTGCCTCTTGCACACCCTCCACTGGGGATGTGCCCACAAGCAAGGTACATGCCCTTGACTGGAATCGAACCTGGGAACTTTCAGTCCGCAGGCCAACGCTCTATCCACTGAGCCAAACTGGTTTCGGCTCCATTGTATTTTTAATCTTATGTATTTTTAATCTCAATAACTTTGAATTGGGGCTTTATTGTATCTTCTATGTATATACTTAAAATGCTATGTATATACTTACAATGTTCAATTTTTCCTCCACCTTCATGAACATATGGTAATAATATCTGTACTGATGTCCTTGTCTGCTAATTTTTCACCTGTGTTTGTTCATTATGAGTGGTCCTTTCCTGTTTTTTTGTATGCCCCATGATCTTTGATCAGATGTTAATCGTTGTGAATTTGACCTTGCTGAGGGCTGGATATTTTTGCAATCCTATAAATGTCTATGAGCTCTGCTCTGGGATACAGTTAGGTTATTTGGATACAGTTTGTTAGGTGGCATCAGAGAAGCTTTTAGTGTAGGGCTAATTTTTCCCCACTACTGAGGCGCAATACCCATCTAGAAAGCTACCTGAAGCTCCTTGATGGACAGGGTTTCCCACTGTGGTTCTGGAAATATACTTCAAGCTCTGAGGATTGTTCCCTCTGTTGCTTTTATGGGAGGGGTCCCTCTGGAGATCTCTGGGGCTCTCCTAGTGCAGCTCCCCCATTCGGGCCCTGTTGACTCTATACTCCTTTGAGCTCCTGCTCAGTTCAGGGAACGACCTGCTCTGTCCGGTTCCCCTCTCTGCTGCTCTGGATGTTCTACAGGCAATAAGTGTGGGCAACTGTGAGGCTCAGCCGATTCATTTCCCACTTTCAGAGGCCTCTGTTCTGCTCTAAGGTGCCCTATCCAAAAACTCTTGTATAGTTTCTCTCTTTTATCAGTTGTTTCAGACACCAAGGTAAATTCAGTCCCTATTCCATCTTGGCTATAAACAAAAGTCTCTGGGACTGGTTCATCTTGATAATGTAGTTGAAAGTTCTGAAAAGTTGCATTTCCAGGAACCTATACACCTTAATCAAAACATTCATTGTTTCAAACCTTTGGGGAACCCTTGAGATTTGCCTGGTGAAGTAATAACGAGTGCAGGTGAAGGTAGTAAAGCCGGTAGGTGGTGCTTAATGTGGGGCTGGAGATCGGGCCTGAGCTCCAGCTTGCCAGGCTCCATAATGTGGAAACTGGATGCCAGGTTTGCAGTTCACCCTGGGAAAGGGATGCGGAGGGTGCAGGGAAGGGATATATCTTTTCAGTTACTCAAGGATGTCTTTTTTACTTTCAAGGTACCCAGAAACCAAATTTTTATGCAGGAGAATGCTTGGTTAAAAAAAAAAAAAAAAAAAATATATATATATATATATATATATATATATATATATATATATATATATATATATATTTATATACACACACACACACACACACACACACGCACACACGCACACATATACAATTTATTAACTAGTAGAATTAAGCATTAATTCTACACAATGACATTAACCATGACCTTTTCTGGATAGTTTAATGTCAAAAGATTTAAAATGCTCAGCAGTAGCACCGTGTGTGCGTGTGTGCATGCGTGCGTGAGTGTGTATTAAATTCCTTATATGTAGCAGATAACTGATTAACAACTACTTAACCTAAACAAATAAGTTATCTCTATCCAATCCTAATATCCCTCCCCCAAACAAACAACAGCTATTTGCATCAGAAGGACCTTGATACTTAATGGAATCCTTTGTAAGTGAAGGGGTCTTGTTTTTTTTTTTAACGTATATATATATATATATATATATATATATATATATATATATATATATTTGATTTTAGAGAGGCAAAGAGAGGGAGAGAGAAACAGAAGCATTAATGATGAAAGAGAGCCACTGATTGGCTGCCTCCTGTACACCCCCTATTGGGGATCAAGCCTGCAACCTGGGCATGTGCCCTGACTGGGAATTGATCCATGATCTCCTGGTTCATAGGTTGAAGCTCAACCACTAAGCCAAGCTGGCTGGAGAGTGCAGGTTTTTTTAAATATAAATAATCACTTTTCCTAATCTCTTTTAAAAATATATATATTTTATTGATTTTTTACAGAAAGGAAGGGAGAGGGATAGAGAGTTAGAAACATTGATGAAAGAGAAAGAAACATCAATCAGCTGCTTCCTGCAGATGTGCCCACAACCAAGGTACATGCCCTTGACCGGAATTGAACCTGGGACCCTTCAGTTCGCAGACTGATGCTCTATTCACTGAGCCAAACCTGTTAGGGCCCTAATCTCTTTCATCAATTAGGAACTTAGTGAATAATGCCAGAATAACAAAGTAGTGTCCCTACTCATTAGAAACTGAGTTAGAACCTCACATGCACTTGGGAATACATTTACTCACAGTCCTGTGTTTTAAAATTTTGGGAAAGGAATACAGTACAAAGAACTTGGTGCAAGTGAGTTGTGGTAATGTCTTAACTCACCAGATGGTGCTGTTGCCACATAAAATTGACATATTTCTCCATCAAATCTTTTACCCCCACCCTTCCAGAATAGCAATTTGGATTTTTCTTCCTCTTTTAAAAATGAGAAAAAGCAAGGGTGAGTGCAGTTGGTATCTTGCCTCCTTTTCTTTTTTATATCTTCATCCAAGGATATGTTTGTTTGTTTGCTTATTTATTTATTTATTTAGAGAGGGAAGGGGAAACAGGGAGAGAGGAGAGAGGGAGCAAGGGTCTGTGTTCTCACTGAAGACTCAGAGCCCTTGTAGTCAGCAATGTTGTTCAAGTTGGTTATTTTCAGGACCTTGTTAAGGTAGCTTCACTCACAGAAGATTTACAAAGTAAGTTGCTAACAATTTCAACTTTAAAAACACTGTCAATAAAAACTTATTTTAAAAACATGGTTCTAGTTAATAATTAAATATATTAAGGTCACTATTTACCTTTTCATTTTTTTCACCCTAAAAAGGTCAACTCCTTTCCTGCCCTTCTTTCCTCCTCCCCCACTTAGTACCTGCTAGTTAAGAGAGTTTTTGGTGTTCCATTACTTTTCAACCATTTCCACTTCACTTTGATATATATTATTTGTAATAGAAAGATAATGTTATCTTCTCATTCTTCTTTTCTGCTCCCTGTACTCTAGCTGGCTTTTCATGACAATTATCCATGGCTATCAACTGTGGGGTTTCTGAAAGTGATCAGAATCTCTTAATTCTCTCTGCAAACTCTGGGGTTAGTCTGGGAGACTGAGCATCCCATAGATTGCATGATAACAATATATATATCATTTACTGAGGACCTGTTTGCTAAGAGCAAACATTTCACCCAGATGATATGTGTTGAGTGACTACTCTGTCCTGGACAGGGGCTTGGGGACTGGAAGAGAACAGTGGAGTGTCCTTTTCTTATGGTACTGTGTGCTCGTGGAGCCAAGTATTGATTAAATACTTTTATATTTGTGTGTATAGAAAAGATTGGGTATTCTGTCTTATGCATAATGTACATATACATAACTAATAAACTGATAAATGCTATGAATGAAGAGTACAGTGTGCTCAGATGATATTTGCACTATTTCTGTTAAGCATTCCAACAATTTTTGAGTTCAGTACTATTGTATCATTAGGTGAGGACTTGAAGCCCAGAAAGATTAAGTCACTTGCTCAAGATCACATCTAGGAAGTGGGGAATTGGGACTTGAAACCCTGTATGTTTGACTCCAAAGACTGTGTTGTAAATCACTCTTGCTATACAATCTGTTTTCTTAGAGGGGAGATTGAAATTTGAATTCATGAAAGTAGACCCTACTTACATGGCATTCCCAGTTTTGAGTCTTTAGGTCCATAGCGTAAGAAAGGCGTGTTTTGGGGGTAATTGAAGGGCTCCGTGCTCTAGACAACTCTTCAACTTCCCACTCCCTGGGAGGAAACCTGATTTGATGTTAGACCCTAAATGTAGGACTGTCAGAGGGCCCAGGTGTGTGTGGCTGCAGCATCTCTCTCTGCTCTGAACCCACTAGTCTCTTTCCCTCTGAGGTGTTCAGCTTAGTTGACTTCATTGTTGCTTCTTCCCATTTTTTTGCTGATTTACACTTGCCTTTCCAACAAATACCTTTTATTTTTTTCTCTTTTCCCTCTTGAATTTTCAGATATTAATGAAATATTGGGAAAATCAGGCTCTTACTATTCAAAGACCTCTATGTAGGCAGTGGAAGAGTTAAAGCAAAGGACAGTATAGAAAGGGCTCCTTGCAGACCTGGGATGGGGGTGGGCAGGGGCAGGCTGGAGGAAATTAAAAGGGGAAAAAAGAGACACATGTAATACTTTCAACAATAAAGAATTATTTAAAAATAAAAAAAAAGAAAAAAGAAAGGGCTCCTTGCTTTCTATCCTCTACTCTTGAACACAGGCAACTTGAAAATAATGTAGAACTTAAAGCCTGTTTTCTACCCAGGATAAACAATACTGATATAGGGACTGTAGTTTTCCCTTTGGCTTTTTTCTTGAACCACCTTCTATGATTTTCTACATATTCTGATGGTAGGCTCCTAAGACACATTGCTTTCTTCTGAGCCTCGATAAGCAGGGAAGGCAGAAACCTTCGATGAATTTACAGCATTGTGTTTTTTCCAGGAGCACTGGAGGCACCTGGATTCCATTCAGAAGGAGCAATACTGGGATCTCATGCTGGAGACCTATGGGAAAATGGTCTCAGGAGGTAAGGGCATGGGTTAGCTGGATGAAAGAACATGGAAAGGCCGTTAAGCATTTTCTGTGTACGCTTAGCTCCCTGAGGTTCTCTGGGTGAAGACTATCATAGTGACACCATTGGGAAGTGGAGTGAGCTGCAAATAGCAGAGTTATAGTAACAACTTCCTGTTATTAAATATGTTCTGTGTACCAGGAACTATCGTGAGCACATAACATATAGTAACTCCTTGAAATAGGCGATGGTATTCTCATCTTTTTTTTGTTGTTGTTAATCCTCACCTGAGAATATTATAGACAGAATGGAAGGGGGAGAGACAGACAGAAACATCGATGTGAGAGAGGCACATTGATTGGTTGCTTCTGCATGTGCTCCCCGACCAGGGCTAGGATCAAGTCTGCAACTGAGGTGTGTGCCTTTGACTGGAATCAAACTCAGGATCCTTCAATTCCCGGGCAGACACTATCCACTGAACCAAACCAGCTAGGGCTCTGATTTTTAAGGTGATAAAAGTAGTGACAGATCAAGTCATTTGCTCACTGTTATGTAGCTCTTAAGTGCTGAGTTAAGAAGAAACTCAGTTGTGGCTGGCTCTGAGTCTATGCTCTTTAGTACTTAATCACAGTCTCAAACAACTATTGGAGGGGTCTTTGTCATCAGGTGGTCTGACTTTACCAGCCCAGATTCTTCTTGTGGTCTTCACCATTTATCCTGGCTATCTTGTTAGTACTGGTGTCTTAGAAGCTCCAAACAAACTTCTAAGATGAGCTACTTTAAGTGGTTCCAGAGCCTTCCTATTTCCTCTCTCACCTAGGACAATCTTTTTGAAAAACAGCAAGTCCCCAGTCCTCCTAGTTCATCGAGGCCCACATGTTCTCTCTCTCTGTCCAGGCATTTCCAGTTCCAAGCCTGGCCTGACTAATTCAACTGAGTGTGGGGAAGAGCCGGCAGGACTGTGCCTGCATGTCAGTGAGAAGATCCTAAAACCCACCTGCATAGGTGAGTTATCTTTCATTGGTCAGAGCCATTCTGGTCTCCTGTCATTAAATTGGAGGTGGTGGAGATATGTTAGGATGTGGGTTTCTATTCCATTAGTTAAGACTGGTCATGATCTGGTTAGCTAGGTTTGGATCCAGATGTCAGATATCTGGTATGGGGCTTTTGACACACACAGTTAATCTTGGAAGAAAGAGTACACCTTCAGTCTTATCTGTTATGACAGCTGTCTTTCTCAGAGAGAGTTAAATTAGTACAGATTGAGACCAATAGGTATAATTATAGGTATATATCCATCAAAACTACCTTTCAGAAATGAAGGAGAAATTATGGCATTACCATTTTTTTTTTGAGTGATATTTTTCCATTAATTTTTAGAGAGAGTGGAAGGAAGAGACAGAGACACAGAGAGAGAAATATCTAGGGCCATGGATGGAGCCTTTAACCGAGGTACATGCCCTTGACTGTAATTGAACCTGGGACCTTTCAGTCTGTAGGCCAATACTCTATCCACTGAGCCAAACCGGCTAGGGCTATTTTAGCTAATCTCAATGCAGCTTTCATTAAGTAGCACAAAGAAGAAATACAGACTTCTTCTGCCATAAAATAGCAATCCCCCTTTAGCCTTCTCTACATTTTTCTGAAATACTGTGGTTATGTGGAATCTTTCTACGTAGACACACTTATATATATACAAAAGATCCCAGAGTCGTGGCAGAAGGAAAGTGAAGGATGTGACCCGATGACAAATCATTCTTTCTCCCCAGTGGGGGTCTAATTAATTATTTTTCTTTGCTGGTAAACCACAGAGAGAGCAAGCATCAAATGGGGGATATAATTTTAATTTTAAGCAATATATTTATTATAATACTATTTCTCAAGGATTCCTTTGGAGCAGTATTTTTCAAACTTCATTTCATGACCAATTAGTGTATTGTGAAATCATTTTATAGATTATAGCCATCATTAAAAAAATGAAATAAGTTTAAATGGAAAATATCAGAATACAATGAGAAAATACTAGATATCAGGATAGGTAGTGTTTCAGGAAATTTTTGTTCTGAATATATGTACATAAACTATATTTTTGATATAAACATGTTTTTTACTGTGAATAGCAGACAAAAAAGTTTGAAAATACTGCTTTAGAGGTTGTTACAATAGGAATTCTGTTTTACTAGACTGTTTTTTAGAGCAGTTTTATGTTCACAGCAAAATGTGAAAGGTACAGAGATTTCCCATGCAGTGGGATTTTATTATATCCCCAGCTTATTCTTTTTCTCCCTTCATCCCATCTGCTGGCATGGCCCATTACATCTTCCCTGGAACCAGACTGTAGAGAATCTACAAAGCTAGTCTGCCTCAGTAACAGAAACTGATGCCAGTGTGGGTCTCTGAGAGAGAGAAGTGGAAAGGGAGGTTGACACCGAAACCGGTTTGGCTCAGTGGTAGAGTGTCGGTCTGCGGACTGAAAGGTCCCGGGTTCGATTCCGGTCAGGGGCATGTACCTTGGTTGTGGGCACATCCCCGGTAGGGGGTGTGCAAGAGGCAGCTGGTCGGTGTTTCTCTCTCATCAATGTTTCTAGCTCTCTATCTCTCTCCCTTCCTCTCTGTAAAAAAATCAATAAAATATATATTAAAAAAAAAAAGAAAAAGAAAAAAGGGAGGTTGAGGAAGTAGCGGTGTGCAAGCAAGCCTGGGAGGGAACACGTGGAGGAAAGGAACCCGGTGGAGAGTTGATGTAGGAGTCCTGATGTGCAGGGATGAGACCCCGGATCATGTGGAAGTAACAATGGAAAGATGGAAAAGGACTGGCTCAGTCTATTCGGTCTGGAGGCTACAGTTAGCCGATTTGCCAGATCTGGACTCAGACTGAATGCACATGTCACAGGAGGGCATGTATGTGCTATTTACTTGACCATATTGAAGAATAGCTCCTGGTTAAAACGGGCCAGCAGAGGGGTAAGCCTCACAAAGCTTACTCATACTGCTAATCAAAATCCCAAGGGATTAAAAACAATGATTTGGAAAATGATCCTTAAGTAGTTATATGGAATAATACTGCAAGAACCGTAAAAAGTTTTGAAAGATGAATATTTCATCAATATTAGATCTATAAATATTAAGAGTCATTTAAAATAGGTAAAATCATTAAAATAATGGAATACTGTTGTAAAAATAGATGCACAAATGGAACAGAAAAGGCAGCTTAGGAAAAGAAGGTAGCCTGTATAAGAATCTTACATATGATGAAATTCTCACAGATCCATGGGACAAACTGTCCTTCAGTGAGTAATGTCAGGAAAAAACTTTGGGGAAAGGTATTAGTTTAAATTTGATGTATATCATATACCAAAATAAGTCAGGGATGGATGAAAAAGGCACAATGTGAAAATAATAAAAAAAAATGAATGAATATTTGACTTATGACTAGATGAGATTTTTTTCTTTTCTTTTTTTTTTTTTAAATTCTTACCCTAGAATATGTTTTTACTGATTTTTAGAAAGAAGAAGGGATATATAAATAGAGGGAGAAACATCTATCAGTTGCCTATCGCACCCTGACCAGGGATTGAACCCACAGTATGTGCCCCGAGAGGAAACCTAACCATAACCTTTGGTATACGGGATGATACTTCAATCAACTGAGCCACCTGGCCAGGACAGGATGGGGAAGATTTTTATAAGTATTAAAGCAGTGAAAAAAATCATTAAGGAAAAGATTAATAGATTTCAGTATATTTAAAAAGAAAATCCCCACAACTTCTATAAAAATAACCCCAAGCAAAATTAAGGTAACCAGAGTGGTGAAAAATATTTTTTATGAACATGACAGATAAGTGATTAATATTCTTAGTATATAGTTAATGCAGGTTGATAAGAAAAAAAGATTTTCCTAATAAAAAATGGACAGCAGTCTTGGAGTATGAAAAATAGCTTAAAATGGGAAAAATTCATCTTTTAAAAATTAAAACTTAGAGCAGTGAAAAAAATCATTTTCACTGGTCTAGATGAAGGTATTTAAAAAATATTTAGTACTTCAGTATTGAACAGTCCTTCCCTCTGCCCAGCTTCTCAAACCAGAGGGTGGCATGGTTGTTCTGGAAATCAATTCGTCAGTGTCATGAGCCTTAATGACAATTTATGTCTGTTGACAAAGTAATTCCACTTCAAGGAATCTTCTTGAAAGTATTGATCAGAAAGGTGGATAAAAATTTATAAATCAAACATCTTCAGAACATTCCACCCCAAAGCCACAGAATATACATTCTTCTCAAATGCACATGGGACATTCTCAAAGATAGACCACATTTTGGGACATAGGCAAAGTCTCTTCAAATTCAAGAAGATAGAAATCATATCAAGCATCTTCTCAGACCATAATGGTATAAAACTGGAAATTAACTACAATAAAAATAATCCAAAGAAATCATACACATGGAGACTAAACAGCATGCTATTAAACAAGGACTGGGTTACCAGAGAAATCAAGGAAGAAATTAAAAACATCCTGGAAACAAATGACAATGAAAACACTACAATCCAAAATCTATGGGACACAGCAAAAGCAGTTTTGAGAGGGAAGTTCATATCCTTACAAGCCTATTGCAAAAAACTAGAAAAAAGTGTAACAAATGATCTAACTCTACAACTCGAAGAGTTAGAAAAAGAGCAACAAGAAAAGCCCAGTGTAAGCAGAAGGAAGGAAATAACAAAAATTAGAGCACAGATAAACGACATAGAGACCAAAGAAACAATACATAAGATCAACAAAACCAAGAGCTGGTTCTTTGAAAGGATAAACAAGATAGATGGACCTCTAGCCAGACTAACCAAGAAACAAAGAGAGAGGACCCAAATAAACAAAATCAGAAATGAAAGAGGTGAAATAACAACAGACCCCACCGAAATACAACGGATTGTTACAAAATACTATTGTATGAACAACTCCAACAAACTGAACATCCTGGAGGAAATGGACATATTCCTAGAAAAATACAAACTTCCAAAACTCAATCAGGAAGAATCTAAAAATCTCAATAAACCAGTGGCTTGGGAAGAAATTGAAACAGTCATCAAAAAGCTTCCAGCAAACAAAAGCCCAGGGCCAGATGGCTTCACAGGAGAGTTTTACCAAACATTCAAGGAAGAACTAAGACCTATCCTCCTCAGACTATTCCAAAAAATTCAAGAGGAAGGAACACTTCCAAACTCCTTCTATGAAGCCAGCATCACACTAATACCAAAACCTGATAAAGACAACTCAATGAAAGAGAATTACAGGCCAATATCCCTCATGAACATAGATGCCAAAATCCTCAACAAAATTCTAGCAAATCGACTCCAGAAGAACATCACAAAGATCATACACCACGACCAAGTAGGATTTATTCCAGGAATGCAAGGATGGTACAATATCCGCAAATCAATAAACGTGATACATCACATAAACAAATTGAAAGATAAAAATCATATAGTCATATCAATTGATGCAGAAAAAGCATTCGATAAAATCCAACACCCTTTTCTGATAAAAACTCTTAACAAGGTGGGAGTACAAGGATCATACCTCAACATAATAAAAGCTATATATGATAAACCCACAGCCAACATTATACTCAATGGGCAAAAACTAAAACCATTCCCTTTAAGAACAGGAACAAGACAGGGATGCCCACTCTCGCCATTCCTGTTTGACATAGTACTGGAAGTACTAGCTATTGCAATTAGACAAGAGGAGGAAATAAAAGGCATTCAAATTGGAAAAGAAGAAGTAAAGTTATCCTTATTTGCAGATGACATGATAGTGTACATAAAAAACCCAAAAGACTCCATTAAAAAACTAATTGACTTAATAAATGAATTTGGCAATGTAGCAGGATACAAAATTAATGCCAAGAAATCCATGGCATTTCTATACACCAACAGTGAAACTGCAGAAACAGAGACTAAAAAAGCAATTCCATTTACCATCACACCAAAAAAATTAAGATACCTGGGAATAAATTTAACTAAGGAAGTAAAGGACCTATTATATTTGCGGAAAACTACACGACACTGAAAAAAGAGATAGAGGAAGATGTAAGGAGATGGAAGAACATACCATATTCATGGATTGGTAGAATCAACATCATCAAAATGTCTATACTTCCTAAAGCAATCTATAGGTTCAATGCACTCCCCATTAAAATACCAACGACATATTTCACTGACATAGAAAAAACTCTCCAAAAGTTCATTTGGAACAATGAAAGAACCCGAATAGCCACAGCAATCCTGAGAAAGAAGAGTAAAGTAGGAGGGATCTCAATACCAGACTTCAAACTATATTACAAAACCACTGTTCTCAAAACAGCCTGGTACTGGCACAAGAACAGACATATAGATCAATGGAATCGAATCGAGAACCCAGATATCAACCCAAATCACTATGCTCAATTAATATTTGACAAAGGAGGCACGAATATACAATGGAGTCAAGACAGTTTCTTCAATAAATGGTGTTGGGAAAATTGGACAGACACATGCAAAAGAATGAAACTAGATCACCAACTTACACCATTCACAAAAATAAACTCAAAATGGATACAGGACTTAAACATCAGACGGGAAACCCTAAAAATACTAGAAGCATCCACAGGCAGCAAAATCTCAGACGTATGCCAAAAGAACTTCTTCACTGATACTACCCCTAGGGCAGGCATCTTCAAACTACAGCCCGCGGGTCACATGCGGCCCGCAGAGGAGTCTGATCCGGCCCGCCAGGTTTTTTGGGCAGTGAGCGCAGCCGAGGTGTTACAGTAGGAATTAGTAGTTCATATAGTCTGGCCCTCCAGCTCTCTGAGGGACCGTGATCTTGCCCCCACTTTAAAAAGTTTGAGGACCCCTGCCCTAGGGCAATGGAAGCTAAAGAGAAAATAAACAAATGGGACTACATCAAAATAAAAAGCTTTTTTACAGCAAAAGAAACCATCAACAAAACAACAAGAAAGCATACTGTGTGGGAGAACATATTTGCAAATGATACCACTGATAAAGGTTTAATCTCCAACATCTACAAACAGCTTATACAACTAAATAAAAGGAAGATGAATAATCCAATTAAAAAATGGGCAATGGACCTAAATAGAACGTTTTCAAAAGAAGACAGAAGGAAGGCCAAAAGGTACATGAAAACATGCTCAAAGTCACTAATTGTCCGAGAGATGCAAATCAAAACAACAATGCGGTACCATCTCACACCTGTCAGAATGGCCAACATCAACAAGTCAACAAACGACAAGTGTTGGCGAGGTTGTGGAGAAAAAGGAACCCTCGTGCACTGCTGGTGGGAATGCAGACTGGTGCAACCACTGTGGAGAACAGTGTGGAGTTTCCTCAAAAAACTGAAAATGGAACTCCCATTTGACCCAGTAATCCCACTTCTAGGAATATATCCCAAGAAACTAGAAACACCAATCAGAAAGGATATATGCACCCCTATGTTCATAGCAGCACAATATACAATAGCCAGAATTTGGAAACAGCCTAGGTGCCCGTCAGCAGATGATTGGATCAAAAAACTATGGTACATCTACACAATGGAATACTATGCTGCCATAAAAAAGAAGGAATTCTCATCATTTGCAGCAACCTGGATGGAATTGGAGAACATCATGCTGAGTGAAATAAGCCAATCAATGAAAGAGAAACACCACATGACCTCACTCATCTGTGGATGATAAAGAACATTATAAACTGATGAACCAAAAGATAGATATAGAGACAGTATATCAACAAGTAGACTGTCAAATTACAGCTGGGAGGGGAGGAAGATCTGGGAGAGATAATAGATCAACTGAAGGACTTTTATACATGCATATAAGTACAACCAATGGACACAAAACTCTGGGGAGGGAGGGGATGTGTGGGAGGGAAAGAGGGGGGCAAAAAAAAATCAATGAAATATATTAAAAAAAATTTATAAATCAAAATGCTATCCCTGTATTATTTATAGTTTTAAAAACAAAACAAACAACAGATTTCCATAGTAGAAGAATTCTTAAATAAAATATGTTTATTATCATGTGATTATAATGTCATCTCCATGATGGACCATTATTCAGCTTTTAAAATGATACTTATGCCAAAACCGGTTTGGCTCAGAGCGTCGGTCTGCGGCCTGAAGGGTCCCAGGTTCGATTCCGGTCAAGGGCATGTACATTGGTTGCGGGCACATCCCCGGTAGGGGGTGTGCAGGAGGCAGCTGGTCAATGTTTTTCTCTCATCGACGTTTCTAGCTCTCTATCTCTATCTCTCCCTCTCTGTAAAAAAGTCAATAAAATATATTTAAAAAAAAAATAAAAAGTTAAATAAAAAAAAAAAATAAATAAAATGATACTTATAAGGTCTTCTTTAAAGATGAAAGTACCTTTGCTATATGAGAAGAATATGTGATAAGGCTTTGTGCATTAACAAGTTTAGGTCTACTTCTTTCGCACATTCCTGGGTCACCAGCAGATAATCTGAAAGGCAAGTATGGGAAAGAGAAAGGGAAGTAGCTTCATTAGATCTGCAGGAATAAAGTAATTTGTAAAAGCTGAAAATAAATTTCATAACTAAAATAAAATATTTATTATATGCACCATTAACTTGTAATTACCAAAAATTTAAGCTATGATGAAAAAAATAAAATTTCAACTGTTATATACATGAGTTAACAAAGCACAAGTGAATATTGGATTGAAGCATAGATTCACTTTTATGCTACAGCTTCACTGTATGTTAAAACCATAGTAAAATGACACATTGATGCATTTCATGAATTTCTGTGTTCCCTGAGGAGAGAATCCATGTGAAATTGATAGAGACCACCATTTACAATTTAAATGCTACAAAGCCAGATTTAGAACTATATATAAAACATATCAGTTATGTCAGGTAAAAGCACGTACATATATACATATATATCGGTTAAATAAAGACTAGAAGGAAATGTATACTCGTTGTTATCTTCGGGTTGTGTGATTGAGGTTGATTTGGTTATCTTCTGTATACTGTTCTCTTCAGATTATTTTTTAAAAATATATTTTTATTGATTTCAGAGAGGAAGGGAGAGGGAGAGAGAGATAGAAACATCAATGATGAGAATCATTGATTGGCTATGTGAGAAGAATATGTGATAAGGCTTTGTGCATTAACAAGTTTAGGTCTACTTCTCTCGCACATTCCTGGGTCACCAGCAGCCCTCTACTGGGGATCAAGTCAGCAACCCAGGTATGTGTCCTTGGCTGGAATCAAACCTGGGGCCATTCAGTCTGCAGGCCAATGCTCTATCCACTGAGCCAAAACAGCTAGGGCTCAAATTGTTTTTAGTGATCATATTTATCTTTTACATATCTTAATAATAAAGAGGCAATATGCTAATTAGACCAAACAGCCAAATGACCTTCTGGACATCCTTCTAGACGACCTTTCGGACAAAGCGGGGGCTTTGAGGGACTCCAAGGGCCGCCCAGGGCTGTGAGTGGCTGCGAAGGATGGCCAGGGCGGCCAGGGCTGGATGAGGCTGTGGGGCTGCGAGGGCTGCCCGTGGCTGTGAGTGGCCGTGAGGGCCATCCGAGGTAGCTGGGGCAGTGAGGGTCTAGCTTAGAGGTGTCGAACTCAATCAGAGAAGGGGCCAAAATCTAAAATCCAGCCTAAATCGCGGGCCGAATGGTTTACTGAACAGTCATAAACTGTCATTGTGATGGAAACGCAGCGGAGTGCAGTGATGACAGCGCGGTGCGGGCCACATTGCAAGGCCTGGCGGGACGGATTTGGCCCGAGGGCCTTGTGTTTGACACATGTGGACTCTAGCTCCTTGCATCGGGCTTCTAGTAATCAGGTAATAGCCAGTCATTTTTTTAAAGTTGCACTCTTATATAATACCCTTGTTTTTCTGATTCTTAATAATAAATACATGTTAAATAGAGCTATTATATGACCTAACAATTCAATTTCTGGGTATTTACCAAATCTTCAGAAAATGAAAACATTAATTTGAAAAGATATATGCACCCACCCACGGTCATTGCAGCATTGTTTTCAATAGCCAAGATATAGAAGCAACCTAGGTTTCCATTGACAGATGAAGAAAGAAGAGGTGATGCATGCACACACACAAATGGAATATTACCCCACCATAAAAAAGAATAAAATCTTGCTATTTGCAACAACATGAATGGACCTAGAGAGTATTATGCCAAGTGAAATAAGTCAAAGTAAGTCAGATACTATATGATTTCACTTATATACAGAATCTGAAAAACAAATGAACAAACAAAATGAAACAAATAAACTCATAGATACAAATAATAAACTGATGGGTGAGAAGTCTGGGGAAAGCACAAACTTGCGATGATAAGTCTTGGGAATGTAATGCACAGCTAGGGAATAGTCATTAATATTGCAATAGCTATGTATTCACTGATGACCTTTGACATATGGATCAGAAGTTAGGGCATGCCATGCATTGAACTATTTTAAATCTTTTCTTTCAGGAGATAGACAGGAGAATGACAAAGAGAACCTTAACTTGGAAAATCACAGGGACCAGGAGCCTCCGGATGCCCCCTGTCGCACCTCAGAGGAGCCGCCTTCGCAGGCTTCCCAGAGTGGCCTCCTCACTGAAGAGGAGCCGGGCCGCTGTGGAGAAGAAGAGACTCTCCCTCAGGCTCAGGAAAGCCTTCCCGGCGAGCAAGTAGAGGAACAGCTCTCTCCTCAAGAAAAGAATTCTGGGAAGCAGCCAGGCCGTCGTGTGCCTCATCCTCATCCAGGGGAACGGTCTGTGCTGTGTCTGGAGGGGAAGAAAGAGGCCTCCCCTAAAGGGCAGCCGAGAGCCCCCATGGTCCAGAAACTGCCCACCTGCAGGGAGTGTGGGAAAAGCTTCTATAGGAACTCTCAGCTTGCTTTTCACCAAAGAACTCACACCAGAGAGAAATACTTCCATTGCCTCACCTGCAGAAAAGGCTTCCGGCGGAGTTCAGACTTCATGAAACATCAGCGAATTCACACGGGAGAGAAGCCTTGTCAATGTGAGTACTGTGGGAAAGGCTTCAGTGACTTCTCCAGATTGCGCCACCACGAGAAAATTCACACAGGAGAGAAACCCTACAAGTGTCCCGTCTGCGAGAAGAGCTTTATTCAAAGATCAAACTTTAATAGGCATCAGAGGGTTCACACAGGAGAGAAACCTTACAAATGTTCCTGCTGCGGGAAAAGTTTCAGCTGGAGTTCTAGCCTTGATAAACATCAAAGGACCCACTTAGCAAAGAAGCCCTTTTAGGAGCCATGCACGCTTAGCCCATTTCTGTGTCCTGGCCCGTTTGAAACACATAGCTCCCCAGGAGGAATTAGGTCTGTTAGTGGATATCCCTGCTCTCTTATGCCTGGATAAGGAAAGAGAGTGTCTGCACATGAGTTTGGACTTGGAGACTGTGTCAGCCTGTGGATTGGATCTCATCTCTTTGGGAAGAGATGGGAAAAACCTATCGCTTGGAGGTTCCATTTTAGAATTGCTACCTGGGAGGAGGTTAACTGGATTAGCCACAGTTGCTGTCATGGGAAGCACCTGGGATTGGCCCTTCAGAACCGGGGGCCCTGGAGCAGGCCATCTATGCCCAGGGAGGCATAGAGGACCGGGAGCTCAGGTGTTCTTTGTCATATTGGTCTAAAATTAATGTCCTGTTCCTTTTTTAAAATAAACTTAGCAGAATCCTATTTCATTTGTGTCTTAAGTGTCCACTGTGCGTTGACTTGAACTCAAAATGCATTTTCTCATAGAAGACCCTCAATGGTAGATCACCCCACACAAACGCCTCAAGTTTATCAAGTAGCTGGATGTCGGTAGGAAAGTGCTAGCCTGGTGCTCGGGTGTGAGAGTTTGATCTATGCTGGACACTCCTGGTCTCAGGTAAGTCTGTCCCAGTGTCCTCTTTCTGAGCCCACCTCCCACTTGCTTGCACACCTCAAGCTGCCCCCCTTCTCCTGGATCCCGCTTAGGCTATTGTTTTTGCCAAGAGTTCTGTGCCTTAAAAATGTCTTCATTATTTAACTAGGGGCCCGGTTCATGAAATTTGTGCACTGGGGATGGGGGAGGGTGTCCCTCAGCCTAGCCTGCCTCCCCTCACAGACTGGGAGCCCTCAGAGGATGTCCTACTGACGGCTTAGGCCCGCTCCCCGAATCTAACCAGCTACCTTTCAGTACGTGGGCTGACACTCAGCCAACTGAGCCTCACCAGCCAGGGCTGGCTTTTTATGTTTTAAATCAGGAGCTCTCAAAGTGTGGCTCCAGATCAGCAACTTTGGCAAGTTGTTACTTATTGAACCATAAATTCTAAAAGATGGGCCTAGCAATCTCTTTATTAACAAGCCCTCCCAGAGGACTCTGATGCCTGCTTAATCCAGAAAAGTCTCTGCACAATATTTGGGAGCAGAGATCCTGAAAGGGATACTGGGCCCTCCTAGACTTCTTACCAAAGAAGCCTCGCCATAGAGTTCTTTAAAACACTGAAATTGTGTAACTCCTTGAGCTCCCAGTGGAAAGTCATTCCACAGAGTAAATTCTTGGAAGCTTTATTAGTAAGTGAAGGACTTCTTGGGTCCCTCTTGATGATCTGATGGATGACAGATATAGGAAACAGCCTATTCATTGTGTGTTCTTAGCAAATAGTAGGTGTTAGAATGTATTGAATATGTGTGGATGTATGTGTGGATTATTCTCTATAGTGTTTCCCAAACTTTTGACATCTGTGTACCCCTTCTGTAATTTTTGTAACGCTGAGTACCTCTCGTACTCATGAGAACGTAGAATTAGGCGCAGCTAAGCACGGTGTAGTGCATATCCCCACCAAACTCCGGTGCAACGCGTACCCCCACCAAACTCTTCTCGTACCCCTGGGGGTAGGCATACCACACTTTGGGAAACACTGTAGTGATCAGCAAAATATGGCCCACTGGCTGTTTTTGTAAAGAAAACTTGGCTGGACTGTGCCATTCCCATTTGTTTCTGTATTCTCTGTGGCTGCTTTGGGGCTGCAGTAGCAGAAGTGAGTAGTTGCAACCAAACTATATGTCTTGCAAAGCCTAAAATATTTACTATGATCCTTAACAGAAAATGTTTGGTGGCTCCTGGTCCAGAGTAGTGTTTCTCAAACCATAGTGTGCATACAAAGCACCCGGGGAGCTTGTTAAATGCGGACTGATTTAAGGGTGATGCCAGTGATCTCATCTGTGGAGTAGCTGGGAGCCAGAGCACCGAGTGTCTGTGCTCTGCAACAGCGTCAGGGCTCATGCTTGTGGCTTGTTTCTCTTCGGCTCTTAAGGATCATTTATGACCCTGCACCTCAAAGCCTGGGCCAGACAAAGCTGGAGAGTAAATCCCTTTATTATGTCAGGAAATGCCTCTCCCCCTATCTCCTAGGTCCACACCCTTCCAGCTCACCTTTCCTTTAGACACGTCTCAGGCTCGGCTCTGTGGGGTTAGTTCGGCTTTTTTGGCTACACTCAGCTCTTCTGAAGAGAGCTAAGCCTAGTCCAGAAGAGTCGAGCCCATCTCTCTATTCCTGTAAGTAATCAACTGAAGAAAACATTCCTTAACACAGCACAAAGCTAAAACAATTGTACAGAACTGTGAGTGCTTATGGTTTCTTGTCTTTCTGTGTGTCTGTGATCACCCTCAGCCACTTGTCCCTCTGGGCAGATACCAGCCCAGCCTTGTTTTCTCAGTGGCTCTGCCAGAAGCTAAATCTGGAGAAGCAAAGCTACTCCAGCCAGAACCCACTTGGATGGGTTCTCCTTGGTCTTCAGGTTGAAAGTCCATACGTAGGTGGGTCCCCGCTGACATGTCTTGTATACAGGACAGGAGTAGATGCTGCGGCAATCTTGCTTGTCTGCAGGAATGGCCTTGATGAACATCACAGGCATAGGGGGTGTCAGATCCTTAAGCTTGGCCTCTGTGATGACCCCAGCCTGAGGACAAGAACATGAGGAAAGCCATGTTAGATCAGACCCGGAGCTCAGCCAGTGGCCTGCTCCCGCAGAAGATCCAGGAGATGAGACTGGGAAGGGCTGGCTGCCTCTATGCCTTCCCCTCACAGGTTCTTTCTGCAACCCCAGAGGGATGCATCTGATGCCGCTTTCTGGCCTAAATCACTTTTTGAAGGAGAGTTCCAAAAGCTGACATTTTTCATATACAAATTAACCCCTTTGAATCTACCTGAGTTTTATTTTTTGACTCATTCACTTCATAAGCATATTGAATGTAACTATTTGCCAGATGTCATGCTAAGTGCTGGGGTAAAGATGAGTAAGACACAACTATCAGCAAATGCTTTAGATTGTAAGGCTTTGGTTGTCTCCTGTCCTAGTTTCTGATGTGACCTCATCCACCCTCTAGTCTAGAGCATTTTGACTTTTTGAGCAGAGGAAGCTATGTTCCATCTTCATCCATGGAATAGGGATCAGAACTGTTGCTTTTAATCACTCCCCTCCGCTCTGCCAAGCCTGTGCTCTTTGCACCATCCCTGGTTGCCCTCAAATGGCGCGTCAGCTTCAAGGAAAGATTATCTAGGTCAAAAGATTCAGGAACATTACTTTTAGAAAGCATACTTTATGGGAGGCAGTGTGTATTTGACCAGCCCGCAGAGGCTGTCCCGTGGCTCACCCAGGACTTACCTGTGTATCCCAGCGAGCACCTTCCATGAAGAGGCCATGGACATAGGCTCCTTCCCGAGGAGGGCTTCTGAAGTCCTCTCGATTCTTCTTGGTCACGTCACATTGCAGGGCCATCTGGTCCAGTGGCCACTCATTCTTGCGGGCCATGGACTGCATGATGGCGGTCAGAAAGGACTGGGGGTTGAAGAAGCCTGTCAGCCACACCGTGGAGGGCATTGCAAAGTCGCTTACCCAAGCCTCCAACTCCTTGATTCGGCTGAGGAGGTCCGGGAACCAGACGGCCAGGCCTGCTGTAGAAGGGTAGGCTCGTCTGGCCCAGGGCTCTGGCACGGTGTCTAGGTACAGGTTGTTCTCTAAGTTCTCCATGTCAATGGTCATGGTCAGCTCCCCCTGAAGACAAAGCATGAGAGGAGAAAGTGAGGGGGCAGCAGGTCTCTGCAAACAGCCAGTCTTAGGGATTTCTGGCTTACGGCCCTCAGAAAGACAGGAGGAGACTCCAGGGGTGGGCGACACAAGGACTGTCCTGTTTAGTACTTGATTTGCAAGATTTGTCTCATCCAAGGCTGGTCCTTTAAAACTCTCCCTGCTCTAGTTTCCACTGAGGGAATGAGGGAAGGAGGAGGCAGGGAGGTGGGGAATCTGATCAGCCCTGATCACTTGCCAGGCCTAGGGACTTTGCCCGTTCATAAATTTCATGCACTGGACCTCTAGTGCAAAATTATAAAGAAGAACACAGACAGTTTCTCCCAAAGGTAATATTTTGCAAAACTATAAAAACAATTTATCAACCGGGATACTGATACTGATACAATCAGGACAATAAAACATTTACGTCACCACAAGTATTCCTTGTATAGTCACATCTGCTTTTCTCCTGTCCCATCCTTTCCATAATCCCTAGTGACCACTGTTCTAGTTTCCATTTCTGTGATTTTGTCACTTCAGGAACACTATTTAATTGGAATCATAGAGTTTGAAACCTTTTGGGATTGCCTCTTTTTACTCAGCATAATTCTCTAAAAAATTATCCACATTTTTGCATATACCAAAAAGTTTCCTTTTTATTATGGAGTAGTATTCCATAATATGTATGTTAGGCAGAATAATAGCCCTTCCCAGTTTTTTATTCTGTTTTGAGTGTCTATCCCTCTACCAGTATCACACAGTCTTTAATTATCCTAGCTATATACTATAATGTCTTGAAATTAGGTAAACTACTTTTCCCCCCACCTTATTCTTTTTCAAAATTGTTTTCACTCTTCTAGTTCTTTGTTTTTATACATAAATCCTATATAATAAAAGCCTAGGTGGCGTCACACACAATGTCATCACAAGATGGCCACAACAAGATGGCTGTCAGGGGAGGGCAGTGGGGGTGATTGGGCTGTCAGGGGAGCAGTTAGGCGGCAGTCAGGCTGGCAGGGGAGTGCTTAGGGGGCGATCAGGCAAGCAGGCAGGTGAGTGGTTAGGAGCCAGCAGTCCCCGATTGTGAGAGGGATGTCCAACTGCCTGACAGTCTGATATCCCCCAAGGGGTGTGAGATTGGAGAGGGTGCAGGCCACCCCCCATGCATGAATTTTGTATACCAGGCCTCTAGTTTTAAAATAATCTCTTCTGTATCTGCAAAAAGTTCTTGCTATGATTTTGATAGAAATTGCATTAAATCTGTATATCAATTGGAGTAGAAATGACATCTTTACTGTGTTATGTTCCAGTCCATGAACATTATATAGCCCTCCATTTATTTATATATTCTTTAACTTATTTTACCAGTGTTTTATAGCTTTGAGTATATAAGCCCTGTATTTGTTAGATTTACATGCAAGTATTTTAATTTTTGAGTGGTTAAAATGATTTAAATTTTGGTATCCATGTTTTCATTGATTATATATAGAAATATTATTAATTTTTGTGTGCTTATTTTGTATCCTGTGACCTTTCTGAATATTTTTGGTACTTTCTTTTAGTATTTTAATAATACCTCTCCACTGTCTTCTGCTTGCATAGGTTCCTACAAAACATTTGCTGTCATTTTCCCCCCC